CCTTTCTGTTCTGTTCTATTCTATTCCTTTCTGTTCTGTTCTATTCTGTTCTGTTCCATTCTATTCCTTTCTGTTCTGTTCTATTCTATTCTATTCTGTTCTATTCCTTTCTGTTCTGTTCTATTCTGTTCTATTCTATTTCTTTCTGTTCTGTTCTGTTCTGTTCTATTCCTTTCTGTTCTGTTCTATTTTGTTCTGTTCTATTCTATTCCTTTCTGTTCTGTTCTATTCCTTTCTGTTCTGTTCTATTTTGTTCTGTTCTATTCTATTCTATTCCTTTCTGTTCTGTTCTGTTCTATTCTATTCCTTTCTGTTCTGCTCTGTTCTGTTCTGTTCTATTCCTTTCTGTTCTATCCTATCCTATCCTATCCTATCCTATCCTATCCTATCCTACTCTACTCTACTCTACTCTACTCATTTCTATTTCTATTTCTATTCTGTATATGAGTCAGTTGCCAAGCATCCCAATTAATTATAAACCATTTAAATCAATTATAAAAGTGTAAACAACTAAGATGATGAAGGTCCTGGAGACAAAAACATATGAAGAACGGTTGCAGGAATTGGGTATTGCTACTCTAGAGAAAAGACGGAGTAAGTAGGACATGATAGTGTTCTGGTATTTGAGAGGTTGCTACAAAGAGGTCAGCCTATTCTCCAAAGCCCCTGAAGGCAGGACAAGAAACAATGGATGGAAACTCATCGAGGAGAGAAGCAACCTGGGACGAAGGAGACATTTCCTGACAGGAAGAACAATGAACCATCGGAGCAGCTTGTCTTCAGAAGTTGTGAATGTTCCATCACTGGGGCTTTTAAGAAGAGACTGCAAAGCCGTTTGTCTGAAACAGGGTTTCCTGATTAAGAAGGGGGTTGGACTAGATGACCTCCAAAGTCCCTTTCAACTCTGTTATTCTGTTTTTCTGTATTCGGTAAGATCTGAAGGGACTTCCCCCCCCCCCCCTGTGGGAAATCTGTGTCAAGCTCCCTCCTCACTTGCTTGTAACGTGATCCGTTTCAACCGGACGCTTCCCATTTGCCAACAATGTGCCCTTCCATGCCTCCATGGCTATTCCTAGTTTCAGGAAATGAAACTTTGGTTTGCTTGCAAAGGAACTACTTTCGGTGTTGTTGGGAGAAATGTCCATCTGGGTTCAGTTCCAAGTGGGGAGAAAGACACCTGGAAACATGGAGGCTTATTGGAAAGATGGTTTATTGCTGAAGCAGAACCACCAAGCCCGTGTTATTCTGGGTCGCTGACCACATGGAGTGGAGAGTGAGGTTTATTTATACCCTCTCTTGGGCCTTACCCTTGAGCTTCCTGTTCCTGTGGCAAGAGCAGGTGTTCTATTGGTTGCTGTAGTCAGACTCCCATGTGGAATCATGTTGGTCTGAATCAACTTTGGGCTGATGTAATATCCCCAGGGGCCATGTGGAGAGCTCTGCTGTTAGATGGGTAGAGGGCTAATCCTATTATGTCCTGAGGGTGAAGGTAGACTGGCACCAAAATATCTTCCTGGGAGCAGGGAACTGAGGCCGAGTTTCCGTTTCCTTTAAGATTTTTCTTTCCCTTTTAGCGGAAATAGTCTGCCTTTTTAATACTCCCTAGGATATTTCATTCTTCTAAGAGAGGGGTGGATGCTAATTTTCTATAGTGTGCTCTTATCTCCTGGTTGTGTCTAAAACAGGGGTCCCAACCTTGGGCCATGGCCCAGTACCAAGCTGTGGCCTATTTGGAATTGGGCAGCACGAATGGTTGGCCGGGGTTAGATACAGATAATCAGAGTTGGAAGGGACCTTGTAGGTCATCTAGTCCACCACCACCACCCCCGCCCAAGCGGGAGACCCTACACCATTTCTGACAAATGGCAGTCCAGTCTCTTCTTGAAAGTCTCAACTGGTTCCCCAGTTCCCCACCACCACATGCAGGTTCTTCTCCGGCTCCAGAGTTCAAAGGCCTCGATTCTTTGGCACTCAGCCTTCCTTGTGGTCCAGCTTTCACAGCCATACATTGCAACTGGGAAAGCCATAGCCTTGACTTCAGAAAACAAAACAAAACACAAAATGAATCTAGTGAAGGTTAACACTAGGGAAGCTGAATATATAACACAGTGCAACCGGTAGATCTTTTGGTGATCTTTTGGTGTAAGATCCTTGGTTTTTACGGGTGTTCTTTGTTGGAAAAATTTTCCTAAACTGGGAGGAAAACTAGTATGAACATTCTGGCTGAAATCTCAGCTTCCTTTCTTTACAGACCAAGAAATGTTGCTATTACAAATAGGAAGACTTCGCTATTGAATATTTTGGAGATTCTGAAATTCTAGTTGCATTTAAATCGATCAATCAAACAATCAGAAAAGAGCTGGAAGTTGTCTTAGAGATTTTTCTAGTCCATGTCCAACCCCCTGCTTAAGCAAGAGATCCTACACCATTTCAGACAAGTGGCTATCCAGTCTGTTCTTAAAAACCTCCAGTGATGCAATTTCTGAGGGCAAGCTGACACCCAGACATATAGACACACAAGCGCACAAAACAGTTGCCGTTGTGTTTAGGAGACCGCAAGCAGCGGAGAAAATATGGAGGAAGATGGGAAAGTCAAACATATATAAAAATGGAGCCCAGCCACCATAATCCACTCACCACTTTGGGTGCAGTGCAATTGTGTTTTGTTTTTTTTTTTTCCTATAAGGAAACGCCAAGAATTGGAGGAGAAGGTATCCTACATTTTTCGCACACAAATCAAGTCAAGAAAAACCACCTACACCTCAACTCAAACCCTTCCTGGGTGTCAATCCCAAATTACACCCTCCGGAGTCAAAGGTAGACAAGAAAGACATTTTGCTGATGTCTCCCCCCTGATAATCAATCCATTTCCAAGTTTCAGAATTGTGGCTTCCTAAAGATTGTTTGTTTCTGCAATTCAGAAATGCCAAAGGCAGGGCTTTTCTAACGCTTTTTTTTTTAAAAAAACAACAACATTCTTTTGCAAAATGTGGCACTGTTTTCCATTAGGGCTTTAGCTGTGCCCTCATCCTAGGCTTCAGGTGGGTTTTAGGGCATCTTACCTGACAAGGACAAAGTGCAAAACAGAACGAGCTGAAGTGTCCGATTGTCCATCTTGCCTTCGGGATGGACTGCTCTCCGTCCTTTCTCTGCCTCTGTGTGTGTGTATGAAGGTATTGGAAGCAAGCTTAATTTGGGAATGCAGACGGACAACAGCAACTGGAAGCTGGGGGAAGGGAGAATTATGAGCCAGCTCAGGGAAACAAGAGACTGGCATCCCAGCCCTAACTTCCTCTTTGAAATCAAGAGGATTTTTTTTTTGCTTGTAGGCAACTGGCAGAACCAGGCTGGGTCAAATCTTAGATGCCCTCACTCCTTCAGAAGTTGTGGGAGCTTCATCCCTGGAAGCTTTCAAAAAGAGACTGGACAGTCCTCTATCAGAAATGGTGTAGGGCAGGGGTGGCTAAGCTTTTTGGGCTCCTGTACCCAAAATTGTGCACGCACTTGCATGCTCACGCATGCCTGCCAGCACCCAGAAGGCAATGCGCACCCTCCATGCCCCCTATGCATGTGTGCGCAATCCCCACCCCCCACCGCCCCCTTACCTGCACTGCGCCTCACAGCTGATTTTCAGTCGGTTTGAGGCCTTTTTCGGTCTCCCAAAGGCTTGAGGAAGGCTTCTGCAGGTTTTGCAGGCCGAAAACTAGCACCGTTTCGTCACTTCCGGTATTTTCGGAAAAACAGGAAGTGACGAAACAGGGCTAGTTTTCAGCCTGCAAAGCCTGCAGAAGCCTTCCTCAAGCCTTTGGGAGGCCAAAAAAGGCCTCAAACCCGCCAAAAATCAGTTGTGAGGCGCGCACATGCGCAGTGAGGTACGTTTGCCTACAGCTCGCGTGCCGAGAGAGAGAGAGACTTTGGGCTTCATGCAAGGAAAGCAGCAGAACCAGCAGAAGTCTTTCTTTCTCTCCCCCAAACTCCGCCAGAAATAAGTCTTTGTGAGACTTGTCATGCCTCTTGGAGCAGGAGGCCTTGCAGGGTCCCAGAGACTCATTTCTGGCAGAGTTTGGGGGAGAGAAAGAAAGACTTTTGCTGCTTTCCTTGCGTGCAGCCAAAAGCAGAAGAAAGAAGCAGAAAGAAGTAGCCCGGTGGCCAGACCAGGCGTGTGGGGCAAGTGGGACAAGTTCCCCTCTCCGCCCTTTCCCCCCTTCCCCTCACTACCTCGTGTTGTTCTCAATGCAGGCGACGCAAGCCTTGTGTTCCCGCACAGCCTGGATTAATTGCTTTGGGGGGTGACATTTCTCTGCGGACCACCAAAATTTTGGTCCTGACCCTGGTTTCCCCCCATCCCCTGCGTGTATCGTAATTCATATATTCTCCAATGGGACACATCCATAGCCAAGAGTTATCAGTCATGCTCTCCAGTTAGAATTTTGCACGGCAGAAACTTCAGTCACCTAGAAGCTTTCTTTGAAAACATTTATGGAATGCAAGCTGCCGCACTGCTCCCCCCTCCCTTTCTGTTGGCAACTCTAAAAAGACCACAGACATATTTTATGAGTTGACACTGAGCTTACTTGAAGGTTCCGTGAGGGTCAAACAATTCAAGATGGAGGCCAGTGGCAGCACCACCATCTTGATTTTTTTTGGCATGTCTCTGTGTCACATAGTGGGATTCCAGCCTCATTCGATCAGGCCATGAGGTGACATATCCTACAAACCCAGAAAATGGTTTACCATTCTCCTTACAAACCATTTGTTCAAAGGAACAATTGCACTGATTTATATTTATATTATGATTTATATTTCTTGCAGACAGCTGGTCCGAGAGGCCAATTATATGTTCAAATTTGAAGAGCCCCCTCTTTCAACAGAGAAAGAGGGATACGACATTGTCTATCTCCAGTCTACAACACGGTTCTTTCAACAGTTCCCAGAAGGCTCCACTCCCATTTGCACTCAGGTGACCATGAGGACAGAGATCAACCTCCAAGTGGCCTCAACGACCCTCTAAAAAGGATGCAAATGACCAGCTGTCTGCAAGGAGTATCAATCCTTCCATTCCCCACCATCCAGTCAGACCTGAAGAAGCTTCTTGGATGGGAAGCGAAATGTCTTCAAAAGAAAAACAAGAAAGTCCAGTTGCCTCTTGAAAAAAAAGCACTTTTGGGACAACCATGACCTGGATGACTGAGGATCTCCATAGATAATCTGACAGTTGTTAAATAATAATAATAATAATAATAATAATAATAATAATAATAATAATAATAATAATAATAATAATAATAATAATAGTAGTAGTAGTAGTAGTAAATGAAATTTATTTCCGCCAGACTGAATTCATGTCATGCCTCTGTCAGAATCTGATTTGGAGGGGGAGGCCGAGCAGCTGACAGGGAGTGGGAGTGTGGCTCTGTTGGCTGTGGAAGAAACTGGGGAAGGGCAGAGTCTGGCTGGGCAGAGCAAGAGAGAGGTAGAACAAGGGAGAGGGAATTCGGAGGAAGACCCAGGCCCACCCCCTCTTCATCCTAGGGCATGCAGGAAGGAACGGAGATGGGAGCAATGTGAGTTGAATGGCTTACGGGGGAGGAAAAGGCCCTGATTCCCTTCATTAGCTGCAGCTGGGAACATAGTGTTTAAAAAGGGAAGTTGCACACAGCAAATTGTGAATTATCTGGTATTATCGAGGCTTATCTGTGTTCCTGGCGTCTTCCCAACTGTGTGTGTTTTGCTGGCCTTTCAAGTCTGCAATTCCTGTCAAGTTAATTACTGCAGCGTGGTATGTGTGGATTTTTATTTACAGTTTGTATGTACTTTGTTTTTGGACTGAATTTCCTCCACTTAAAGATTGTTCTTGGGGAGAGTTTTTTTCTCCAGCTGAAGGTAACTTGGACACTGGGGGCAAGATTGGAGGTATTTAAAGGGACTCTTCTTACTTATGTGACTGTGTTGCCTTTGTGCCACGCCCCTTTGGGTCATCACAGTTCAAGTCCACACATCTTAAAAGTTCCTAAGGTCGACAGACACTGATCTACAAGCGTTGGAAGGAGTTCTTGGTTGCCACCTCAACTAACATCCTGAGGTCCCATCCTGAAGAACAGGCAGATATCTCTACGCTCTTCCACTTCCAGCAGCCAGGTCTCCTTCGGAGTCAACCTTGTTTCCCTGAATGTCCACCACAGTCTTCTGCCTTCCAGGCTCGCTTACTTATGGACTGAATTTGGCCTTCCTGGCAGTGCCCTCAGGTTAAACCTTCAGAGTCCCCAAGGCGAGAGCAATAATTTCAGGCATGCTCCTGTAGAGAGAATCCTGTTCCAGGCCCACCAGACCTGAGAAGCGGGTGGCCTTCTGCCCAACGATGGCTTGGATATGAGCTCGGTAGAGGCCCTTGGCGTTCTTGGAGGCCAAGTCCACCAGGATCTGGGGGAACAGGTGGAGGAGAGGGAGAGCGGGAGGCTGATAATTTTAAAAAAAACTAATACAATCTTTGGTTGTCTAAACAGAAGGCTTAGAATCGAAATCATATGAAGTATTCTCCACTCCTGTACTCGTTGCAGAATATCTTATGCCACCAGACTTGAAATTCTAGACCTAGAAAATCTAGAACTACGCCGCCTTCGGTCCGATCTAAGAATAGTACATAAAATTATATATTGCAATGTCCTACCTGTCAATGAATACTTCAGCTTCAACCATAACAACACAAGAGCACACAGTAGATACAAACTCAATAGGCACCAAACTTGATTGCAGGAAATACGACTTCAGCAACAGAGTGGTCAATGTCTGGAATACTCTACCTGACTCTGTGGTTTCTTTGCCAAACCCCCAAAACTTTAACCTTAGACTGTCTACTATTGACCTCACCCCTTTCCTAAGAGGTCTGTAGGGGGCGTGCATAAGCGCACCAACGTGCCTACCATCCCTGTCCTGTTGTTTCTCTTATTCTTCTTTTATTTTTCTTATATGTACCCATTTCATGTATTCATAACTATGTTTATGCTTATACCTGTTATCTTATAATCGCTTGACAAAATGAATAAATAAATAAATAAATTACTACAGCTTTATAAATCTTTAGTAAGGCCACACCTGGAATACTTGCATCCAGTTTTGGTCATCACATTACAAAAAAGAAAAAAAAGTGCAGAGAAGAGCAACTAAGATGCTCAAAGGCCTGGAGACAAAAACATTTGAAGAATAGTTGCAGGAACTGGGTATGTCTAGTTTGATGAAAAGGAGGACTAGGGGAGACATGATAGCAGTCTTCTAGTATCTCAGGGGCTGCCCCAAAGAAGAGGGAGTCAAGCTCTTCTCCAAAGCCCCTGAGGGCAGGACAAGAAGCAACGGATGGAAACTGATCAAGGAGAGAAGCAACCTGGAACTAAGGAGAAACTTCCTACGAGTGAGGACAATTCACCAGAGGAATAGCTTCTCACCAGACATTGGGATTGATCCTGGCCGGCTCAAGGTTGACTCAGCCGTCCGTCCTTCCGAGGTCAGTAAAATGAGGACCCAGATTATTGGGGGCAAGAGGCTGACTCTGTGAACCGCTTAGAGAGGGCTGTGAAGCACTATGAAGCGGTATATAAGTCGAAGTGCTATTGCTCTTCCTTCCTTCCTTCTCTTCCTTTCCTTCCTTCCTTTCTTTCCTTCCTTCCTTCCCTTCCTTCCTTCCCTTCCTTCCCTTCCTTCCTTTCCTTCCTTCCTTCCCTTCCTTCCCTTCCTTCCCTTCATTCCTTTCCTTCCTTCCTTTCCTTCCTTCCCTTCCTTCCCTTCCTTCCTTCCTTTGCTTCCTTCCCTTCCTTCCTTTGCTTCCTTCCCTTCCTTCCTTCCTTCCTTCCTTCCTTCCTTCCTTCCTTCCTTCCTTCCTTTGCTTCCTTCCTTTCCTTCCTTCCCTTCCTTCCTTCCTTCCCTCCCTCCTTCCTTCTCCTCCTTCCTTTCCTTCCTTCCCTTCCTTCCTTCCCTTCCCTTCCTTTCTCTTCCCTTTCGTTCCCTTCCCTTCCTTCCACACTGTGGTTAGAATGTAGCATTGCAGGCTGACTGCCCACTGCCAGCAGTTCGATCCTGGCTGGCTCAAGATTGACTCAGCCTTCCGTCCTTTTCGAGGTCAATAAAATAAGGACCCAGATTATTGGGGGCAGGAGGCTGACTCCGTAAAACCGCCCTGGAAAGCACTCTCAAGCAGCATATAAGTCTAAGTGCTATTGCTATTAAGAACCGTCTCGCTTAGCAACAGAAATTATGGGCTCCATTGTGGTCATAAGTGTATAGCCCTCCTCCCCCGCCCACCCTTCTTGGTGTTGGGTGGGGAGGGCAGAGGGCTGGCATGCATGCAGCCTCACCTTCTGGAAGTTCATGGTGAGGTCCTGCTGAGGCACTTGCAGAATCCATCGGTAGCTCTCCCGCACGGAATTGAGCCGCTGGGCAGATTCATTCACTCCTAGGCAGCTGGAATCCACAACCAGGGCTGGGGAGAAGAAAGATGTGGGGTGAATTTCTCAATGGGGAAAACCATAATACAAATAAAACATCTTTTTTTGAAAATAGCTGGTCCCGGGTTACACTTCTTTATACAGACACAAACTCAATTTGATGCTCACTTTTATGTTCTGTTCCATATCTTATTACTGTTTTACATTTTCTGCCTAGTTTTTCTCTTCTCTTAATTTTCTCAATTTTATTTTAACTATCTCATCTTCATTCAAATAATTATATTTATACTTTTGTCTGTCCTGTTTCAATTTCATATCTTCTTTTCTCATTGAACAAATTTTCTCCTGTAGTTACTAATTGGAGGATGACACCTTTATATCTTTTAATTTTATCCATTCAACTCTTATTTAAGCTTCAATATATACCTTGAGGTTATAACATTCAATATAATACATAACTTCCAATCGAATTCTGCTTGGTACATTTTAAAAATACACACTATATTCTTAAAAAGTGATTCTGAATATATGTAACTAAAACACTCATTCCATTCCAATTCAATTCTATCATTAATATTCATTAGAGTCTTAACATCTTTAACATTTCTTTTCAATTAAATATCATACTTCCTTGGGAACACTTATAAGCTTTCTGTAATTAATTCTTTTTAAGGCATTAAATAATTAAAATGTTCCCATCCTTTCCTAATTCAATTCTCTCATTCATTTTATTTCATTTATTAACAAACATTTCACTAGATTACAATAACTATTTTATCCATCATTTTAATCATACCTTGTTTCATATTTTCTAAAATTATTTCTATTTCTAATATGACAATACTGTCTTATGTACATTTGCAGAATCCCTTTTTCAATTTAATTTTCACCCATTATCTCTAAATAGGTCCTGTTTCTCCATATCTTGTTGATGTCTTTATAACTTCTTTTCCTTTCCTTCTTCCCTCTCTTTTTCTCCCTCCCCTTTTTACTCCCTTGTCTCTCCACTTCTAATTCTCTCTTCTGTATTCCCCTCTTCTGTTGCTTTCTAATATTGTACTTATTTTTCAAACTATGCTTCCTTTTCTTGGTTGTTTTTTCAAATCTTAAACTTTTCATTCTCTTTCCCCCCTTTCCTTTTTTTCCCCCACATAAATTTACTTGTTCATTCAAGATGGCTACTTCTTTGTCCCAGTCTTCTTGTTCTGCAGGCATTTCTTGTTGTTTCTCATAGTTCCGGATCTCCATTTCTAAGAATTGAAATACGATGCCAAAAGAACCTCTCCCTTCTTGTGCATCTTCTTTGTACTTTTTAAGTTCCATTTTCAATTCATCCAAAAGTAGTGCCATTTTAAACACTTTTAAACAACCACCCAATTGATTTTAGTCATTCAAATGCAATAACCAAAAATCCAGAGATCACCAAGTAATCCAAATACTCCCAAGCTGCTTCTTCTTGCTTCTTTTTTCCACTTTCTCTTCCTGGGGTTTTACTATTTTGTTGCCAAGTTTTAGTTAAAGTGTATCTTTTAGAAGTCTTGTTGAAATTTTGCTGTAAATTCCTTTTAATTCCAGGCAGTCTCCTCCCTTTTTTCCAGATCCTGCCCTTTTATTCTTTTTCTCTCCTTTCCTGCTTTTGAAAGCTTTTAAGTATCCAGAAATCGTTATTATCCCTTTGACATTTTATATTCAGCTTAAATGCCTATTGATGTCAAAGTGGTTTTTTTTTCTGATTTCTTATTTAGATCTCTTTGCTGTCAGTAAAGGGAAAGGGAGAGAAGAAAATAAAGCCAAATCCTTTCCCTTTTCTCTCTCCTTCGCTGCTTCAAAGTCTTCTTTAGGAACAATGTTACTTTTTTTTTTTAGTTTAAATTCCAGGGTACTTTAGTTGTTGCTTTTGCACTTTGACCCAGTCATCCAAAACTTTCTCTTCTTATCTTCCTCCTGCACATTCTTTTTCGGTCGAGTTCTTCTTTGAGGTGGCCATTTCTGACCACCGCTGCAACCGCCTTCGGGAAAGGGAGTAATGGCCAGCTGAGGAGGAGAGATGTGGCTCTCCTCAACCCTGCTGGCAGTCTTCCCCCTCTTCACCACCTCTATGGGGTGGCTTAGCCCCGAAACCAGCTGGCTCGGGGCGCTCCAGCAGTGAGCACGGATCAAAACCGCGCACGATCGCGGTTTTGGTCTCTCCGCGAAGAGGCTCAAACCGGCAGTTCTCGATGGCGAACCTTTTGGTTGTGGTGTGCCAAAAGCGCCTGTGTGCCGGCACCCACAATGCAATGCACCCTGCCCCCTCCATGCATGCCCATGCCTCCTTACTTGCACTGCGCAAGCGCACCTCCTAGCTGATTTTCGGCCCATTGGAGGCCCTTTTTGCCCTCCCGGAGGTTCAAGGGAAGCCTCTGCAGCCTCGGGAGGCCGAAAAATGGGCCCGTTTCAGCACTTCTGGTATTTCCAGAAGGCCCGTTTTTCGGCTTCCCGAGGCTGCAGAGGCTTCTCTCGAGCCTCCGGGAGGGCGAAAACGGCCTCCAATGGGCCGAAAATCAGCTGGGAGGCACACACATGCACAGTGCAGGTAAATTTGCCAGGGGTTCGCGTGCCCACACAAATGGCTCTGCATGCCACATGTGGCATGCGTGCCATAGGTTTGCCATCACAGGTATAGGGTCTCCTGCTAGAGCAGGGGTTGGACTAGATGACCTCCAAGGTCCCTTTCCAGCTCTTTTCTGATGGATTGATTTATTGATTGATTGAAGTTGTGAATGTTCCAACACTGGAGGTTTTTAAGAAGTGACTGGACAGCCACTTGTCTGCAATGATATAGGGTCTCCTGCTAGAGCAGGGGTTGGACTGGATGACCTCCAAGGTCCCTTTCCAGCTCTATTCAGATAGATAGATAGATAGATAGATAGATAGATAGATAGATAGATAGATAGATAGATAGATAGAGATAGATAGATAGATAGAGATAGAGATAGAGATAGAGATAGAGATAGATAGATTAGAGATAGAGATAGAGATAGAGATAGAGATAGAGATAGAGATAGAG